GCCTCTTTACATCCAAAATGCGTCACATTAAAGAAAACTGCAGCACAGCTACTTAATTGCTCAGCCACTTAAAAGATAACAAAACCAGATAAGCATTTCTGAACTCTAGCTTACGTTAGCTGCCAGTTCTCTAAAGAGCATCATCTTTTCACCTTAGAATACAGTTCAAAACAATAAGAGACCCCACAATGAAGCCTCACATACAGGAGCACTTAATGAAACTAACACCCAAGGTTTAAGCAAGACAAATTGTGTATTTCAATTTGATTGAGAACATCCTATGGACGTTTGAGTGGAAGGATTTTTTTTCACAGGATTTTACACAGGCTGAGTGTGTACTCACCTGGTTCTGTGCCCTGGTCTTAGCTAATAACTTCTAACATCACCCTGGACGCACTAATTATCTCCTGGTTACATTTAGAAAAATCCCATTAATAGCTTTCCAAAGCTGTTTGTTTTGTTTTTCAGAATTCTTGATGATGTGAAATGAATAAATCAGGATTAATGGTGTTTCTACAAATACATACTTGTGCAGTCACAGGTTATTCAGTCCGATGCAAGAAAAAAGTTTAAATTATACAACGTAAGCAGAAGTTCAGCTTAGATGATCGTAACAGCCCCTGCCGGACTTAAGATCCATTAATTAATATACGTCAGGGGATAAAAGCAGCGGGACATAGTGTGATTACTGACTCCAGCTCCTACTCCCTCTTCTATGAAGCAGCTCCCAAACCTAGCAGTTTACAACCCTCATTGCATCCCTGATGAGATATACCATCAATACATTGCTGCTGGTGTACAGGGCACTGAAAAGCAATGGAAGAAGCTACATAATTTTATTATGCAAAAATATGTGAATTTTGGTCATAAATGTAGGGATAAGCCAATCTTCAAGATGGAAGCAGAAAACCAAGGGTCAGAACAGAATTTTCTTGTCATTACATAAGTAGCAAACATTTAAGATCTCTTGTGCTATCTTTCTTTGGCTTTTTAAAAACCTCTTCCTCTTATTTTCTTTGAAACTTCAGACACTGGCCATTATTCAAGTCTGAATCACAGAACGGTTTAGTTTGGGAGAGACCTTAAAGATCATTGAGTTCCAGATGCCTGCCATGGACAGGGACACCTTCCATTAAACCAAGTTGCTTACAGCCTCATCCAAACTTACCTTGAACACTTCAGGGATTAGGCATCCACAGCTTCTCTGAGCAACCTGTTCTGGTGCCTCCCCCGCCCCCTCACAGTTAATAATTTCTTCCTAAAGTCTAGTCTAAATCTGCCCTCTTTTAGTTTAAAGCCATTCCCCCTTGTCCTATCATTAAAATGATGAAAACCTTAACAGATCCTGTGAGGTAACTCTTTAATATGGTAGATTGGAAGAGTTTTTTTGTCAAAAACACAAAGAGTAGCTGCCTTAGACAAAAGGAATTTTTTGAGTGTGAGCTTTTAGTTTCAATTGTTCTTCAAAAGTAGATCACCCAATGCTGACTTACGGCAGTGGTAAAGCTTCCACGTGACTTCAGTGACCCTTCACCACTGCTCTTATTCCATATTATTCCAACACAATGAGTCAACTGATTGCATTTAGGAATTTGTTGTACACCTATAATTTATTGTGCTGTCATCTCAGAAAGTAATATTGTTGAAGAATGACATAGTCTTTCCTTTTGAATTTATTGTTACAATAAAATTATTCAGCCAGCCTCTGGTTCCTAGAAAAGTCCACAGAGGAAATCAAATTCTAAAGAGTGTCTTTTCTTATCAGTAACAACCAAGTAAAAAGTGAATCATCACACAGGCCTCAATGTGAAATACAGATGGCCTTGGAGTGGCAATCAAACTTTAGAAGTTCATGTTTCATAGAAAACATTAAGCTGGGTAGTTAGAAAAAGTTGCCCCTACACTTTGAAGAATTTTTTGGTTTAATGCCATTACCAGTTGTTTCAGGATGCAAGGAGAAGCCCACCCAGGGCAACTGTGGTTTACATAAGGGAGATGCACTGTCACGTACCAGTGGCTGAGTCAGGTGAGTAACAACACTGAATTTCCAATCCAGCCTTTGCTTTGAGTCTGGCACCTATTAAAAGCCACCTCCCAAAGACATGTACGACACAAAGCCACAATCTGGTATGAATGGTGAGGGCCGTGAATGAACACAAAGCTGGTTTGTCCTAAGCCTTCCCATCCACAAGGCTCAGTGTAGAGGGGTAGGTTTGCCAGGACAAGGGAGGTCCATACTCCCCTTCCTATGCTGTTGCTACCACTCAGCACAGCACACACACTGTGTGACTCAAAGGGAAAGCAACTGCACCACTGAGCAGCTGCCCCCATTGTTCCATCAGGAATGGTGTGCTTTACAAACACTGATGTGTAAAGACCCATGACTCCTTCTGGTATGGATTTACTACTCCATTCAAGAGTTAGCAAAGTTAGACATGAAAATTCAACAGCCTTAACATTCTTCCAGTGCCTCACAGTTAGTGTCAAAGAGTTTTGAAGAAAAAACATCAGTTCCAGAAACTTGAAATCCCACTACCTATGAGATCCAAGTCCACACCAGTCCTTTTTTTTTTTTTTAGAGAGCAAGCTCAAGATTATTCAGCTATTTAGCTGAATGAGTAAGGAAAATAATTCTCATGAGTCTTTAGAGGATATTCAGAAATAAAGAACACCATCCAAATTTTGCCATTAATTTACTATGGTTAAGTCACTTAAACTCTCCATTCTTCCTTATTTTTGCCCATAAAGTAAAGCCAATCTAATGACCAATCTAATGGTCTTATTGCAGAAATACTGTAAGATTTAATGAGCTAATATTTTTCCAGTGGGGGAAATATGTACTCAGCAAATGCTGAGTCATATTAGTAGTGCTGGAACAGTGGTGAATAGTAAGAGTGCCAGCCCCTTTAGCTAAGGGAGAGATAGAAAAAAATCTGTTTATTGAGATGGAACCAAAATTGAAATAAGTTCAAGTTTTAAAAATTTTTACAATTGCACATTCCAGGACTTGCTTAAAACCCCAGACATTATGAAATCACAGAACCTGTTTCACAGAATCACTACATTGGAACAGACCTATGCCCTAAGACCTCAACTAAACCATGGCACTGAGTGCCATATCCAGTCTGTTTTTAAACACATCCAGGGATGGTGAACCCACCACTTCCCCAGGCAGACTATTCCAATCCTTTATCACTCTTTCTGTAAAAAACTTTTTCCTAATATCCAACCTAAATTTCCCTTGGTACAGTTTGAGACTGTGTCCTCTCGCTCTGTCAGTTGCTGCCTGGTGAAAGAGATGAACCCCTGCCTGACTACAGCCACCTTTCAGGAAGCTGTAGAGAGTGATAAGGTCACCTCTGAGTCTCCTTTTCTCCAGGCTGAACAACCCCAGCTCTTCTCAGTCGTTCCTCAAAGGGCTCGTGTTCCAAGCCCCTCACCAGCCTTGTTGCCCTCCTCTGGACATGCTCAAGTGTCTCAACGTCCTTCCTGAACTGAGGGGCCCAGAACTGGACACAGCACTTTCCACCTGGGCACTGTCCAGCCACACCGTCCCCAGCCTATAATGTTGCAGGGGGTTTTTGTGGCCAAAATGCAGGACTCAGCACTTCAGATTTATTAAAATTAAGTCTCAAGTTAATTTAACTTTAAATTAAAGTTTATTTAAATTAAATTAAGTCTCAAATTAATGATGTTTAACTAAACATCAGACTTATTAAATATCATCTTATTGGATTCCACCCATCCATCCAACCATTCCAGGTCTCTTTGCAGAGCCTTCCTACCTTCCAACAGATTGACACACACTCTCAGCTTAGTGTCGTCTGCAAATTTACTAATGAATGACTCAATACCCTCATCTGTGTCATTAATAAATGTATTGAACAGAACAGGCCCCAGTACAGATCCCTGAGGGACAGGGGTCCAGAAGTGTGCTGTGGGAGACAGTGTCAAAGGCCTTGCTGAAGTCCAAGTACTTCAATATCCACAGTCTTTCCTGCATCCACCGGGTGGGCCACCTAGTCATAAAAGGAGACCAGGTTGGTCAAACATGACCTACCCCTCCTAAACCCATGCTGGCTGGGTCTGATGCCCTGGCCATCCTGTAAGTGCTGCATGATGACACTCAGTATAAACTGCTCCTTAACCTTAACTGAGGTCAGGCTGACTGGCCTATAATTACCAGGATCCTCCTTCCCACCCTTTTTGTGAATGAGTGCCACATTGCCCAGCTTCCAGTCATCTGGAACCTCACCAGTGAGCCAGAATTGCTGGTAAATGATGGAGAGCAGCTTCACAAGCTCATCTGCCAGCTCCCTCATCACACCCTGGGATGGATCCCATCTGGTCCCATGGATTTATGAACATCCAAGTGGCTCAGCAGTTCTTTGACTACCTCCTCCTGGGTAACAGGGGGACCATTCTGCTCCTTGACATCATCTACCAATCCAGTAGATCACTTGTCCTGAGGACAAGCCATCTTCCCACTAAAGACAGAGGCAAAGAAGGCATTAAGCACTTCTGCCTTCTCCTCATCTGCAGTTACTGGGTTACCTCCCGCATCCAACAGGGAACAAAGGTTGGTCCTACCCTTCCTTTTGCCATTAATATATTTGTAAAACAATTTTTTAATTTCCTTTACTGAAGTTGCCGAATCAAGTTCAAACTGAGCTTTGGCTTCCCTAATTTTCTTCCTACATGCCCTAGCAACCACCTTAAATACTTCCTGAGAGACTTGACCCTTCTTCCAAAGATGATACATCCTCTTTTTATTCCTAAATTCCTTCAAAGCCTCATTGCCCATCTGGGACCTCTATTTGCTGTTTTTCAAAACCAGGAGAGTGACACCCACATCTCCACAGTCTTCGATCATTCTTCTACTGCTTTTTCCCATACAACTTGCCATTACATATTTTAAGATCTTTATTCCAGTAAAAATTAATTAGTTCAAAAGTCTTATTGAAAACAAATTTATAAACTTGTTTGATAAATGCTGTGTTTCAGCCTAGGAAAGTTTTTCTTTGCAAAACATGATGAAAGCTACCAGAAATTATTATAAAGCACAGGTTAAGAAACTCAGGTAGTATAAAAGTAGTCTTCAGTTGGCTTAGGTTGACTTTTATTTTGAAAATCTGGACACAAACCAAGAGCAAGCTTGCCAACAGAGCTTTTCCTCAGCAGCTGTCTCAGAGAGGCCTTTGCAATCCCAAATAATTTCCTCTATTAAACCCCTGTTCCAGCTCAGGAGTTCCTTCCTTTTGCAGTAGCAATGGGAAAATGCAACCAACAGCATCAGACCCATCTGTACAAGTAGTTGAGCTACACAGATCCATGATTAGTATTTCAATTTGTGCACTGTGCTTACCAAAGAAGCTCGAGAGCCAGCTTCAATTCATAAGGAAACATATGAAACAAAGCCATCTGAGCTGACATGTTCACAAAAGAACACTATCTGACTCACTGAAATCAAGATCCTCCTCAGCAATAAAAACCTGGTGAAAGAGGATTTGCATCTTGCCCAGGATGTCAATGGGATTTGCTCAATGACTGAAGACACACTGATCACTGGCAGTCTAAATGCAGCACAGCAGGCATCAGCAGTTAGCCCTGTCCTTGTAGACATCTTAGATGTGTTCGTAATTTCCCTCATTTCATCAGTTTCATTAAGATGAGAATCTTAACTTCAGAAAACATACACATTTGGTCAAATTAACTTGTATGATAAGATTACACTCTGTACTGAAGTTTCACTGCTACCAGAATGTGCAGCTCTGTGCCATCAGCTGCCATTACTTTTGTTCTCAATACCCCTATGTTAATACACAGGTTCCCAGTATGTATTAAGTGATGGCAACTGACATGTGGAGGTGCCTGAGGCACAGATAGAAATTGGTGTTAGTGCTCCTCTGCTGCCAGAATACAGTCCAGGTTTGTGGTTTGGGTAATGGTCATTAAGGAGCCCAGCAGACTAATATTTTTTCTTACATCTCCCTTCACTGTAGCATTTAATTTTTATAGGTTTATAGCTTGCACAGAAAAATGTACTGCTAAACATAGATGAGAAAAGTATATATTACATACAGAAAAATACATCCTGTAGGGACCTTCCAACATCATTTCCAGATATCATATTTTTCTGGTTATAAAACAACTCCTCAATATTTTCAACTGTGCATGGTGACATGACATAAAACCAACTGAGTCATATCAAGTAATTTATCTGTTTCCATCTTCTTTCCTGCCACCAGCTGCAAATCATTTACTTGAAAGCAACATTGGAATACAAATATTTTGACATCGAGTATATCAAAACACTTCCAGGCAACCTCCATGCAGGATCAGATTAATATAGACCCATTTCCACCATAATGTCATTTAACCTCAGTAGTTTTATCTTTTCCAATGCTTTTGTCTCTTTTGCCTAATCCTCCTGTTACCTGGTGTGCAATATGCACCTTAAGAGATCCAGGGTACATTGTCTCAGAGAAACAGCAATTAATTATTAAACCTGTCTCTATAACAGCTTTCCAGGTGTTGAGACAATCTGTAAGCTAAGCACTGATGTTTATCTCTGTAACATGGCACTACTGCATGAAACCTGTCAGCCAAACTGTTGCATAAGTCTTTTTGTTTTTATTCATTTTTATTTTTTTTATGGAATTGCTTTAAAATGGCAAAGTACCTTTTTACGGAAAAAAAAGAGACAATGTGTGGTTATATCCTCCCTTTTTCTCCACTTCTGGGCAGGCATGTATCACCATCCAAAACATCACACTGATTTCAGTACTGTCCTTATTACCTTTTCTGTATAAGCAGTCAGGAAACCTGGAGCTAGGTTTAGATGCAGCATTTGCCATTTCCAAGTCAGCTCATTTCTTGTGAGATTACACTTCTACACATTATCTGACTAATTTTAAGGTTGTCAATGGAAGGGGAGTGGAGTGGGTGAAGACTAATTGTGGGGTGAGATTTTGTGCCATGCAGTTGCCAAATGAATCTTTGGTGATTAGATTTCCTTTGTCTGCCTTTAATCTTTATCAGTATTATTACAGTTATATTTTTCATGATCTTTAGTAACACATTAAGAATTCCTTTCAGGAATCTAAAACTATTGTCACAATCACAGTGCAAACAACCTAAAACTAACTTAATAAACACTAGAAGGGTCAAGGTTTCTTATGGGTTTGTCTTTCATAATTATTTGGAGGTATAAAATGAAACACTTTTTTTGGTGCGTAACTATTGTGTCTCCCTTATGAATACTCTGGTATCTACCAAGATAAAATGTATCTGCTACTTTTCTTTCTGGCATGTGACTCCGGGGTTCCTCTCTGCTCCAGCTGGCTGCCTGCTTGCACAAAACTTGCAGGAATTCAATTAGCTTTGAGCCCACTCTCCAGCAGCCAAATTAAATCAACTGGTACGTTCAACAGTTATCTGAGGATGTACAGAACATAATTGCCCTATTTGCTGAGGAAACCATTCCAACTTTTAAGAGCTAATCATTTGCAATGGATGTATGAAATAAATGGGAAAATGAGAAGATGGCAGAAAGGCTGAAATTAGGCAACAAGAAGCTGAGCATTCTACTGGGCAAAAAAAATAAACATTAATCACAGTACAAAGTTGACAGATGGCACCAGCTTTGCAACCAGGAAAGGCATTTGAAGGAAGGATAGGCAGCCAGGAGGGAGGTGGCAAGGTGGTGTTTTTTCCCAAATCATCCTACATATGTAAGGCACCATGGGGAGAAACTTGAAGGAAAGCAGTAGGAGATGTATAAGCCAAGGTGTTTATGTCAAATGAGCAGGAATGAGGCATTTCATTCTGGATCCAAGTGCTGATCCAGGGAGACTGACCTGCCTCCAGCTTTGCCACATGACTTGCCATTCACCCCAGCCTTGACCTGAGGGCTCATCTTCCAGCTGAGCATCTCATGGAAACACTCCTGCTGCCTCAACCCAAACGGAGCAAGGGGAAGCTTACTTTGTAAATTCAGACACAAGCAGGTGGAGAGCTGCTTCTGTGGGAAATCAGGAGACAATAACTTTTGCATTGTTTGCAAAAGGGGTGTCTGCCCACATTCTCCACAGGCCAACTGGTCTTGGGGACAGACTGTGTTTTCAGGCACCTTCTGTACAAAAGTGAAATGCTTGTACTTTTCAGTATGGGGAAGGGAAAGGGAGTTAATGTGTGTTGAGACACCTCAATGCATTTCTGTGGCATTTTCTGTGTTACAGGAGACATATCTGGGCTCTCACCTTTCTGCATGGGTGGGTACTATAAGTTTGGATGGAAAGAAAATCCAGATTTAAAGAACTTCTGTAGCATGTTTTGGCTGAGTGAAAAGCAGCAGCAAACAGGTGCTGGTGGCTGAATGGTAGGAAATGTAGGCCATAATGATAGAGACAAGACAGGGTACAAGGTTCTGTGGAGCTAGGACTACTCACAGGTCTGACTATTTCATGTATCCATAAGGCAATGTCACACTTTCCAGTTGACCAAGTGAAGATGAGCCTGGAATAAATAAATGTGAGAATTATTAGCTGAAGCAGTAACAAATCAGACATGCATGCTTTACCTCTAGAAAACCTGCTCTTCTTCTACATCCTCTGCATCAAGAGCAAGAACTGGCTCTTATCAGCTCTTTCCCTTTTCTAGCTCTCTGCTGTCAGAGCTACCTTGTTCCAGGAGAGTTTTTTTTCCCCACTGGCTAAGCCTGATGCTTTAAGGCCAGTGAAGGCTTTAAAGCTGCTTACAGACCTCAAACTGACCTTTTTTAGACTTCAGACTGAGATTGACTCATGTAAACTTAGAGTCCCTGAACATGGGGAGCAAATTGTCATTCATACTTCTAAACTGCCAGATAGTCATTAGTTATAAATCATAAATGTCATATGGCTAGAAAAATACATAGCCAGTCTATTTAAGAATAGTTAATTCTTGTGGTAAGTTTTTAATCTCCAAGTATTTTTATCTTAACTAGTGGTTTCTGCCATTGGCCTCAGAACTGCCAATAGGAAGGAGAATGGTAGATATCATACATTATACTCTCAAAAGGTGAAGAAAAGAGAGGGGGTAAGCCAAAGACAGAACTTGGATGAGACCCAGGAGGAATGAGGATGGACTTGTGCACACATTAGCCATCATGGTTGCAGTGCTTTGCAGAAAGACTATGCTTCATGCCTGCTTGTTGCCAGACACCAGGCAGGAAGATTTTCTGGAAGCCCCATCCTCAGCATCTCATCTCAGGAAAGGCAGGACAGGAGGCCAAGTGGGTCCCCACTCCTCCCAGCTGCACCCCAATGTTGTCTACTGTGACAGTCTGCAAGGCAGGCAGGGGACACATATCTTGGCTCCACGTGAACATAGCATGATTCCTCTTTCCTCTCTCCAGTTCACTAAGCTTTCATTTCCTATGCCTCTGCTAGCACAGTTCAGTCTGAAAAATAGTCTTCTTAACAGCCAAGCTTGTTTGTTTTCTTTGGGGGTGCTCATTTAATATCTTCTCACTAATAAGACAGTTTTTTTCCTATGATCCACAAGGCATCAATATTGCATGTGGTCAGAGACCTGAAGACTAAGAAATACATGGACGTCAAGCACTATGTATTTCAAGCAGCAAGTGTTTTGTTAACAGCAACAGCTAAGCCAGGGAACAGCCTGAACTTCTGGAGTCAAAACAAGATCAAAGCACATAAAGGTTAATGGGAAAACTGCCACAGGAGCCATTTTGCAGTGGGAATTTATGATTTACAAGCATACTCAGAAAAATTTGCTTTAATCACTAGATTACACTAAGTACTTGTCAATTTTAATACAGTAAACCACAATTTTTCCCCTACTTCAGCATTGAAAAACTTCCCTTCTTAAATATAGAAACATATAATTAGATTCTTATCAAAAGCTTTCCCCCTCCTTCCCCAAGAAAAGCATTAATATTATTAATAACACCATCAAGATCTCTGAGAAAGGTGCAGAGGATAGGGGCAGATTTTACCTCTTCCTCCCTGTCCGTATCCTCCTCTTGTACCTCCCATGACTATCTGCTTGGAGGCATGTGTTCCATTTGGCTGTAGCGCTCTCTGGGCTTTTTTTTCCATGACTTGGAGTTGTTCTCTGAGCACAGAAATCCCCGTATGCCCTCCCCAGTACACCTGTGTACTTCAGTTGCCCAGCATGGTCCTTGGACAACAACTTTGCCAAAACAAGGAGGGAGGGGATGTTGAGGAGCCCCTCAACCACACATCCCTGGTGCCAAGGACATGCCACCCAGGGTGTCACCCCACAGTCAAGGGAAGCTGCTGCAGGAGCAAGGCAGCAACCCTGGCTCACCACCTCCTGAAAATGGCACACTAAAAATTTTATTGTGTGCTTAAATGGTATTTATAGACACCATCAATCACAGAGGTCCTAAATGCATTAAATCAAAATTTCTTTAAAAACCAGTGTTCTTCAAGACTCTTAAAAACAGCTCAAAAAGATGATATCATTATAGCCTGTTCCTAAAATTCATGGTTTCAAGTAGGTCTCTGATGCTCAGCAAGGCTTGGTTTACACTGATGCTCAGTGCCTAACACTGGCATCTATCAAAAAATGGAACAGAGACAGCAGGAAGCAAACTCAAAGTGACCCTTTCTGTTACAGGGATCAGGGCTCTTACCTTAATAAAACAAGAGTCAGTGGTGTAACATCAGTACAGAATTAGTGTAGAATAAGCTCGAATCTGTCTCATAACCTTCAGGATCAGTAAAAAACAAAAGAGAGTTCTGAAACAGAGTCCTATCCATAAGCCGAGCCAAACAGCTAACCTCTTGCTCCATTTTTAAACTCCAACCAGCCCCTCCCTGTCTCTGACCATAACTGGGCACAGCTGAGTTGCCTCCAGCTGGGGGGAGGTTGAGGCAACAAACAAAACATATGTGAACTACAGACCTTGCTAAATGGGCTGTATGCAGTATTTTTCATTCTTGATGTGATGGCGTTTTAGGCAGTGTGGGAATGTTCACAGGGGTGCAGTTTCTTTGGCTAAAGCTTGCTTTTTGGTCATCTGAACCTAATTTATGCAGGTGTAGCAGATGTTCCATAGCAAAGGACACAGGGATAGCAGCAGTCAGTAACCAGTATACCAGCAGTATGATAGGCACAGTACCTCAGTCATCAGTATATGATATGTATATTGTTATCCTGAGTTTGACTCTTAAGTCTAAAATGAGTTACCTTCTTGAGTATGGGTTTCCCTGGCTATTTGTGTTTTCATTTATGTTTCCCAATTCATCAGCACTGCTTGCAAAAGAAAGTCTAGCACAAGTTATTCTCAAGAGATGAAGCATTTTACATTCCAAGTTTTCCTAGAGCAATGGTACTAGAAACAGAAATAAGTTAGTGTGTCTCATTGCAGTAATGCTGCTTATTCCCTGCATAGCTAACCTACAAGGGCGGAGGAAAATTAAGTACCATGTAGGCCACTGATTTTCTTATTCATGCAAAATCTCCACTGCAAGTTCAAGCAACGACTATAGCTGTTGTGCAACAGGGTAATGTGATGCAGTTTGCTTTTTCTTCATTAATATAATTTAATGTAATTTGTTTCTATCCCTTCCTCAACTCCCTTTTTTTTTTTTTTTTTTTTTTTTTTTTTTTTGAGTGTGTGTTAACTCTTCTGCAGGAAGTCAAACCACAGGTAGCTTTCTTCTACAAACAAATCCAATTAGTTAAGACTGTGGATGGATTAAGATTTAAGACTCCACAGAAATGCCTGGATGGAAACCATTTACATTAGCTAGCTCTTATTCAAAAACAAACAAGGATGGAAGGCAGCACCACTTTTAACTTGGGGACTGGTGGGTGGAAACCACCAGATAATTAAAGATCTCTCTTTAATATCCTTGAAAAGGGAGGGTCAGATATGCCAGGATATGATCCATTACTGGCAAGGACAGGTATGTAGGTCACTGTGTCACATGGAAAGACACACAGAAGAACCCGAGCAGAAGCCTGCACACAGTGGCCCAGATCAAAGAAGAAACTGGAGTCACCTTCAGAAAGAGTTCTGTCCATGGATCAGGAAACAGCAGAACAAAGAAAAACACCATACCCAGCTCTCTTCTCCCTGTGGAAAGATATATGGTCATCTTGGCTGCTGTCAGGAGATAGCTGTTGAAGAAAAAAAACCCCTTTAATGAAGAATTCCTAGGATTTTTTAGGGCCAGAAATAGGGAGGGCAAACAGGTGCAGGTAGTATGCATGTACAGCATGAGTGACTTCTGCTTGCTCCCACTCTTCCTGGAGTTCTTTCATCCAGAGAAAGTGTCAAAGCTGTCAATAACAGTCAAAGAGGAGAAGGGGACAAAGATTTCTCTCCTAAGGTATGGAACAAAAGTGAGGCGGATGGCAGGACTGACACAAAGGTTTCCGGCATCCATTTTTTGGGAGCAGTTTAGGAGAGATCTGAATCCAGCTTCAACACTGTGAGCTATCAACTAGTCTGCATCTCTGGCTGAATGGCTGCTACTGCTCTTGGAAATAAAGGTTGACAGCATATAGATGCCAATAAAGTCCACATGGTCAGCTAAAAATGATTGCATGAGAGAATCCTGGAGGACCCAGCTACCCAGCAGGAGTCACTAAGGGTAGAAGTGCTGACAGTCAGTTCTCCACTGCTTTCTAGTGATGACTGTTTAGATCCATGTGACTCCAGGAGGCACCATGGCTGTCACCTGACAGGTAGTTCCCTTGATTATATGGTGTTGCACAACAATAGTATCTGACTATTTCCCTAGATCAAAACGTGTGTATTTCAGGACACAGTATTTTAAATAACTGTTTATACAGAGACAGCTGGCTTTGAAGTCATTAAGTGTTTCTGAGGTTACTTAATACTGCAGAAAAATCAAACAAGAATCTGCCTGAGCTCCTTAACCATGGCCTGTGTCCCAAAGGGTGCCAGAAACCCCGTGAAAGTGGCAAGGGCTCAGCACTGCAGCAGAAGCTGCTTTGGGTGCTAGCCACCCAAATTTTGGCAGCCTTTGATCTAAACAGATTGGATATTGGGGGAGAATCCTAACACTGCAAAATCCTCTTTTATGATGAGGGTGATTAAACACTAGAGCCAGCTGCCTAGAGAAATGGTAGATGCCACACCCCTGGACACATCCAAGGTTGGGCTGGACAGGGCTCTGAACAGCCTGATCTGGATGAATATGTTTCTGATCATTGCAAGGCAGTTGGACTAGATGACATTCAAAGATCCCATCCAGCCCAAATATTCTATGATCTCAATTGCATCAGCTATTCTGTGCTCATCAGAAAGGTACTGTTGCACTCTACTTCTGCTGCTATCATCTCTGAGCAGAATGCTGCCAGTTAATCAAGAGTATCTGGCGCCAAGAGAGCATATTAGAGGATAAGACCCTGTCTTGTGTGCATGTTGAGTTGGAAAGGCATTTTCTTTTCATATTGTAATAAATCTGAATGTTGCAACCCCCTGGGAAATAATTGTTTAGAAATGATCAAAATGGAGAAACAATTTTTTTTAGAGTCTGCCTATAGAGTTTTTGTGTCATTATGAAAACAAACATTTTATATGGAGGAAGAAAATTTATTCTATAAAGTCCCCAAAAGTGAAAGCAAAACACTTCACTATCACCCAAATTTTGCAAAACATGAATTTCTGTCGACCTGTGGAGTTTTTTTTACTGGCCTGCAATAGCTTCAATTGAGTATTGTTTTTCTGTCCAGTTCTAATCAGTATAGCAATACTCAACAAGGTGTGCTGAAAAATTATATCACATTATATGGGCAAAAATGTACTTATAATGTATTCATAATGACAAAAAAATGAGGTTGATAAATGTAGCTTATTTCACTCCAGGGGGGCTGCTATGAGAGATCTGCAAAAGGCTGGTGGGACCCAGGTGAACCTATGCTAAAGGAACTGCAGGAAGAGCTGTACCATCAAATGCCTTCTAGAGAGCAGTAGACAATATGAAAATAAAAGATTAGGTGTAGAGTGGTCATATTGAGCAACATTGCCTTTTAAATTGGCCAGCAAGCAGAAGGTTGAGAGAGACCAGGAACACAAAACCTGGGTTCCAGTATTAGCAAGTCAACTTATGAACTGATGTCAGGAATGTCATGATGATAATGTCATGAATTTCACAATATTTGATGCAATTTCCTATAGCTTTTGCTCCTGCAACTCTTCAATTACATGAAAATTCCTACTCCCATTTAAAGTAAAAAATGTTTCTAGCCTTGAAAGTTTAGAAAGCATTAACCAAGCACTCTAAACTGAAAAAGTAAATTAAAAAGCGCTTCAAACTAATTATTAAACTGCCCCAAACTCTCAGGGTTTTCCAGCAGACAGCTCATGCTGTGTTATGGTCTGAGTTGTGCCGATAGTGCTAGCTGCTCAGCTGGAGAAAATTTGATTTTCTTGAGGGGAAGGTGACTAAGAGTGGGTATCTGTTTTTAAAGATAAGAGGCTAAAATACAGTGGCAGTGTGGTTGGTAGGAAGGAATAGCTGTAGTTTTCATGTGGCTTTTTCGGTCTGTGTGAGAGATGGAGCTAGGAGAAAGACTAAAAGTGGATCCTAGCTTTCATGACAATCCTTACTTGCTTCCTACCTCTTTCATATATTTCTTACATAGCACTACAGAAGTTTTTGGACACCTGGGAAGTGCATTACTAGCTTGGATATATATTCATATATATCTGTATATGTGTATTTTAAATATCTGCAAGCCTTTAGTCACCTTGGGCCTTGTGAGAAGCAAGAGCCACAAAATGCAAGAGGTACCAAAATAAGAGTGTAGCTGCCACAAATCTTCTTTAATCTGCCACAAATCCATCTTTAATCCTTCTTTAATTACATGGGCCAGTGGGGCCTTAATGCTGAGACAGTGCTGTGCTGCAGAGAGCTCCAGCAAATGCAAAGGAAGCAGCAGTAGCACCTGATGATGCAGTGTCACAGCTGCAGCTAGCTTTAGCTGCCAAATAAATTTGGCTGTATCGGACCCCCAGACTCAACCAGCCGAAAAGTAAAACAAGCCCCCAGATTGGGCAGGGATGGGTTAGATTCAAACCCAAGCAAAGACCTCAGCCAATCATGTTCAATGCAGAAAGCAGACACATCACTGGTGAAGGAAGTGGGGTGGTTAAGACCCAGAGCAATCAGTCGTCTGAACCCAGGAGTTTTAAACCCCCTATATAAGCAAACTTCCATAATAAACTGTGGCTGTTGTGACACGGATCTCTGAGAGTTTGCGTCATTTCTGTCTCCAGCCAATGACCCCATGTAACAATGCAGGACCATACAGGACAGTGTGAAGGCTGTAATTAGGAAACCACGTTATTGTAAAGCAGGCAGCCCAATGAAAGCAGCTGATGAGACCAGCTGACTGCATCTGTATTGACAATAGTCTGCTAGCATCATTAATATCTGTCATTGTTTTCCCCTCCACCCCAGCACATCTCTGAGTGCACAGAGTGAGGTAACCTCCCCACACCATAATGACAAAATCCTCAGTGAATTGCTATGCTGAGAATTGCCCTGAATTTCTGTGTTGTGATAGCCACTATGTTGGGGGTGTGTGGGGGGGAGAATTTAATCTCTGGGCTCCCCTATGGCAAACAGCCAAGAAAGGATGGCTGCATCCTACTCCTGCTTCACACATGCTCCCTCATGTGTGAAGGACATGGAGCAAATACAGAAAATACAACTAGGCAGTGATAGATGCAGAGGAGTACACTATGCTCAATCCCAGCAGAAAGATAACAA